TTCAATTAATTAACATATAGTGTATTATTAGTTTCAGAGATAGAGTTCAGTGATTCAGCAGTCTCATACAACATCTGGTGCTCATTACATCACGTTCCCTCCTCAATGTCCATCACCCAGTTACCCCAGCCCCCCACCCTCCTCCCCTTCAGCAACCCTCAGTTTGTTTCCTATGATTAAGGGTCTCTTATGGTTTGTCTCACTCTCTGATTTCGTCTTTTTTTTTTTTTTTTGGTCTATTCAGGTTTTCTATTTCTTCTTGAGTTGGTTTCAATAGATTGCATCTTTCTAGGAATATATCCATTTCATCTAGCTTATTCTCATATAATTATTCACAGTATTCTCTTATAACCCTTTGTATTTCTGTAGGACAATCCGAATGTCCTCCTTTTCATTCCTGAATCCAGTAATTTGAGTCTTCTTTTTTTCTTGGTCAGTCTAGCTAAAGATTTGTCGATTTTATTGATCTTTCTGAAAAACAAATCTTTGGTTCCATGACTTTTTCTACTGTCCCATTCTCTATTTTTTATTTCTGCTCTAGTCTTTTTTATTTCCTCCCTCTTCCTGCTTTACGATCAGTTTGCTAGTTCCTCTTTCTAGTGTCTTAAGATAGATGGTTTGATCATGATTTGAGAAGATTTTAACACAGGTGTTTGAAGATATACATATCACTCTAGGCACTACTTTAGCTACATCCCATAAGTTTTGGTATGTGATTTTGGTTTCATTGGTCAGAAAGTATTTCCTAATTGCCCTGCTAATCTACAAATGAAAAACCTTCAGAATGGTACACAGTAAACACTGTTAAGGATAAAACATAAATGTGTATCAGGTAAAGACTAAAGTTTTGAAGACTTGTAATGCCAATATTTTTATATTTGAACATTGCTTAGATCAAAAATGTTTCACAATTCAGAAAGTGCAAATTCAACTTTTTTTTTTTAATATTCACTCCTGCATGAACCATAGTATGTTTAAATAAAGGAAAAGCACAATTTTTTTTAATTCTATAAAATTCTAAAGAGCAACTACATATACAGTTTAGAGTCCAAACAAATTCAAACTTCTTCAAACAAATACTGGTCAAAATGGAAAATTCCAATTTAAAAAAAGTATGCTTTGACACATATACTTTCTTGTAGATTTTTAGATGAACAAGATTTTGACCTTTAGACTAGTTTTTAAAAAACTAAAAAGGTAATTTTTAGTCACACAAAATTACACAACAAAATGTGCCTTCCAATCTAAAAACAAAAGAAACAAAAAAATGTCCACTGGAATGTAAAAGTAACCATAGGCTTTATTCGCATTACTAAAGACAATGTTGCAATAGCAACATCCTTCTCTCCCTATTTCAACCAATCCCCCTCCTATTTTCCTTACCGACTTAGCAGGAAAATTAATGTTTAGAACTTGAACACTGGTAAATTTTTCTTCAGCAAGATCTGCCTTCTGCAACAATTCTACAGCACCCAAGGCAGTTATGTCCCCATGCTAGACTTAAATGCCATAAGATTCATTTATAAAGGAAAAATAAAAGAATTAGTTTTAAAACATCACAACAGATCAGAACACTACAAGGAATAATAGTGCAGCTGCCTTGCTATCAAAAAGCAAAAACAGTGCCCCTGGGTGGCTCAGTCAGTTAAGTGTCTGCCTTAGGCTCAGGTCATGTTCTCAGGGTCCTGGGATCCAGCCCCAGTTGGGGGGTAGGGGTTGGCCCTTGCTCAGCAGGGAGCCTGCTTCTCCCTCTCCCTCCCCGCCCCCTGCTCATTTTCTCTCTCTCTCAAATAAATAAAATCTTTTTTTTAAGATTTTATTTATTTGAGAGAGAGGGCACAGAGGGAAAAATGAGAGGGAGAAGCAGACTCCCCGCTGAGCAGAGAGGCCGATGCAGGCTTGATCCCAGGACCCAGAGATCATGACCTGAGCTGAAGGCAGAAGCTTAACCAACTGAGCCACCCAGGCGCCCCATCAAATAAATAAAATCTTTTAAAAAAGATTTTTTAAAAAGCAAAACCAGAAACAAAACAATTAATAGGCCCACCCCTCACAAATTTTCTATTCTAATATGAGAGTTTCAATATATCATTCACAACATGCAGATACTCTTAAAAGTCAAGTTTCTCTTATACATAAAGCATATGGATAAAAGAATTCTAAAATATTCTTTTCAAATGCTATACAAACTTACATAGTAATGGGGTTATAAAAAGACTGGAAAAATTAGGAATGTGAGAAATAAAGGATGAGACCTTTATTTCTTGGCATACTTCCCTCTATTGCAAATCTAATCTAGTTCCAAAAATGTATACCAGATATTGGAGTTATCTGAATCAATTTCTCTTCCCAATTTGCAGCCAACAATAATTGGAATACTGGAAGCAACTCTTTGAAAAATCTTTAATACTGAATTAAAATAGAATAGATATTATATTCAAGTTTAACAAAGTTCACTATCATATTCCATATAACTTAATCAGTATCTTTCCCTCTTATTTTATATTCAATGATTCCTTTATTTCAAAAACAAAGACATCACATGGTTTGTGAACAACACCAGTGACTACAAGTATTTCCATATCACTTCTCTCAACTTGTTTAAAAAAATCCAACTTAAAATGTGAAACAAATTGAATATAAAGCCACATTCTCTAGAGGGAAAATGCTGTGTTACTTCATTAAAAAAACAAATAGCCAAGTCATATAAATAAAAATTCACAAAAAGCAGAATTTTCTGAGGTACACTTTAAAAATTACTTCATTTGCCACACAGTCTGGACTCTACCCTGCAAAGCTGTCCTAGGCAATCCATGTGTGTCCCCTTTGGGTCCTTTTAATTCACACGGAGCACAAATCTTTCAAAAACTAGTATCAACAAGAGCAATCAAACCAGATGCAGCTTTTTACAAGCAACAGCCCTAAGCTCCAAATAAAATTAACACCCTCCTCAAAAAAAAGCAAGTCAAAAAAAAAAAAGTTCTTAAATTTTCTCTTAGGAGTTCCTCAGTTTTACAATTCTTTGCTTTTCAGTGAAAAGAGAATGGGAAATCAGTGATAAGAATGAGAACAGTTAGTTCCCAGGAAAAGGATGCAAGAATTTACAACTCAGGGTTGGCCTAGAGATCAGCAGGCAAATACACACCAATGCTCAGAGAAAGCTTTCAAGAAATGTCATTATCTTTTTTTTTTTTTTAAAGATTTTATTTATTTATTTGACAGAGAGAGACACAGCGAGAGAGGGAATACAAGCAGGGGGAGTGGGAGAGGGAGAAGCAGGCTTCCCACTGAGCAGGGAGCCCGATGCGGAGCTTGATCCCAGGATCCCGGGATCATGACCTGAGCCGAAGGCAGACGCTTAACGACTGAGCCACCCAGGCGCCCCAAGAAATGTCATTATCTAAGGCAAGTCGTAAGGCCTCTTATTTTAAGGCCTAAGGACAGCCCTATACATGCACCGTAAAATACAACCTATCAAAACTATTCTCCAAAAACAATTCAGGAGTTTCCCAAGATGCCCGAAGTAAAGGGCAAGTACTCTGGACACCCTCAGGACGGCCGCCTCTCACAGGGGAGGGAGGCCAGCCCCTGTGAATCCGAGTGCCACCACGTCAGTTTATGTGACAGATCCACTGGGAGCATCCGACTGTGATCCGGGGCCCTCCCGGGCCGACGCTGCTGGAAGAGGAACATATATGCAATCTTCAGGGCCCTCCTACTTCCGTTCTCAGAACAGAAATGCACTGTTTCTCCTAGTCCTCATCCCTCAGCCCAGCGCCTCTCAACTGCGGGGAGAGCTCAAGTGGAAAGAAAAGCAGGCAGTCTCCGACCAGGGTCGACAGAATGCGGTTGGTCAAAGTACTCCCACCCGCGACTCCGGGGGCAAAGCGACCGCCAGCGCCTCCCTGAGCGCCACCCCCCCCGGCAGGGGACGCAAGCAGCAGCAGTCCCAGGTCGCCCCACTCCTTCCTCCCCGGGTAAGGGGAGCGGAAAGGCGCAAAGAGGAACTAAGTGAACTGCAAGAGGGTGCCCTGCAAGCTCCTCAAAGAGGGGGTGGGGCGGGAGTGGAAACGAAGACGGAGCGGAAGGAAAGGGCAAGGAGCAGCCAGAGGAGGGGGACGAGAGCGCGCGCCCGCAAAGGGCACGACTCTCCGGGGACGCGGCTGCACCCTGGTTCCTCGAAGCGGACGGGTGCTCCCGGCCTCCGGGGCGCTGCTCCCCGGGCAGAGGACGAGGAAGCGAGATGAGGAGGCGACGTCCCCCTCCCGGCCCAGCCTCAGCCCTCAGCAAGGGTCGGTCGGGGCTGCAGTGCCCTCGCCGGGTCCGGAGCTGCGACAACGGTCGCTGGCCTCGTCGGAAGACGCGGACCGCGGGGCCCTCTGCGCGCTCAGCGGGCCGGCTTTCGCGCCCCCACCCCCGGGGGAGGCAGCTCCGGGGTGACCGCAGCCCGGCGCCCGGCGGCCTCGCCGGTTACCTGAAGCGGGGCGAGTCCTTCAGACACTCTTCGAAATCCACCGTCATCTTCATCCTGCCTCCGCCTCGCCTCGAAGGCGGCGCTGGAAGAGCCTAGAGAGCCGCGGGAGTGGCTGCGCCGGGGACCCAGACAGCGACGGCGGGCGCACGGCCGCGACTAGCGCTGCGCGGAGGTGCGGAGGGCGCCTCGCCCGCTGGTCATAGCAGCCGCGAAGACGGCGGCGGCAGCGGCGGCTCGTCAGGCCCCAGTCCGGCCCCTCTTCCTCCCGCCTCCAGCCGAGCGCCGGTCACAGGGAAACCGCCCGGGAGTGACAGCCTCCGCCAGCCAGCCACGAACCCGGCGGCCAATGGGAGGGGCTTCCGGCAGCACCGCCTGCGGGCGCTCCGGCAACGCACCTGAGCGACGGTAGCTCGAGCCAATGAACAGCGCGACCGTGGGTGCCCCCTTGCCACAAGCGTCCCCGAGGACCAACCGGGATGCGCAGGAGTCGTTAGGCGGGACGCGCCCGGTTGCTGGGAGGCCAGCGGCTGAGGCTCCTTGGGAAGGAAGTCACGTGGCTGAGCGCCGCGCTTCCCTCGGAGCCCCCGCCTCTTCTCGGGCTTCTCAGCCCCGCCCTGCTGAGCCGCCGACGCGGAGGAGCCGCCGCCTGCAGGTCTGAGGACTCCTACAGCTTTGGCAGAAATCTGAAGAGGTTGGGAGTAGAAACTATCAAAGGAAGAGATAGGCTAAGCCACCAATTCCTTTCCGTTTAGAGAAACTGAGGTCGGGAGAGGAGTAAGGGTGGCTTTAAAGATTCAATCCGTCTTTCACTTTACTGACTTCATCTCTTAATAACTTGGAAATCTCTCCCACGTGTATCTTCCATTTAACTAAGAGACTACTTCCTGAAGGAGCTGGTATTTGGGGCGAGCCTGGAAAGATCAGGATTCCGACAGGTAGGCGAAGTAAGGCGTTTGGTGTGGAGGAAACGCTTTCAAACCCGCAGAAGACATTCCTCCTTACTGTTACTTTCCTCTCAATAGCTTTCACCAGTTCAAAGACCGTAGGGTTCTGAAAATCAGGCTCACCTCCTCATTTGCAACACCAGCCCACTGAAAGTTGTTCTAAGAGCCCTCCCTGCAAGATATGCATCACCTGATCCAACAAAGCATTTACCATACTTCTGATTTTAATATGCCATTGATTGTAAAAAAAAAAAAAAAAATGAGGATACATTATATTAAAATGTAACCCAACCGAAAAGGCATAAGAGTATCCATAGAATGCAACAAAATGCATACTGTAACAGTGTAGTGGCTCTGAGTGAGAGCCTGAAGGCAAACTTTCTGGATTTTCCTCCTATCTTTTCTTACTGCAAAATGAAGGTAACACCACCGATCTGATAGAGTTGCCTTGAAGCTGAAATGAGAACTCTAAAGACACAAGACAGTGCCACATAGTAACCATTCAGTAAATGCTGGCTATTATCATAATTGTACCACTTTATTCTTAAGTGCTATAATAAAAGTTTAAATGTAAGCCTTCTCACTTCCACTGCCTAAAGTCTTATATAACCATTTTGACCATCTGGCTAAGTGTAGCATGATGGTAGGATGTTTTACATAACCAGTGGTTGTATCTTGATCTCTTTAGCACCTTTTAGAAATTAACAGTATAATTTTGAGACATTTCAAAGAATATACAAACATTATATATGTTTCTTCTTTGGTTATAAACTTGGTTTCTTTTTATTTTTTTAAGTTTTTATTTTAATTCTAGTTAACATACAGGTGTTATATTGGTTTCATGTGTACAATATAGTGATTCAGCTCTTCCATACATCACCCAGTGCTCATCAGGACAAGTGCACTCCTTAATCCCCATCACCTATTTCACCCATCCCCCCCTTAATCAGTTCTCTATAATTATGAAGCTGTTTCTTGATCTCTCTCTCTCTCATTTTTTCCCTTTGCTTATTTGTTTTGTTTCTTAAATTCCACATATGAGTGAACTCATATGGTAACTTGGTTTCTTTTTTAAATTGAATTGCATATCCCTGGAATCTACACAGCTTCTTTTGATAACTGGAAACTATTGACAGTTAAGCCTTCAGTATCCCCAGACACTTCAGTTGGTCAAGCCAACCTCTTCTGGATTTATAACTTCTGTGTCAAATTTAGAAAGAGAGTTGGCCATTTCTGCATTTAATTGTATTCCTGATGCATGACAACTAATCTGTATATACAATAACTTATTGTTTCAATGCTTCAACACAATGTAACCTTTTGGAAGAGGCCTAACTTGACACTTTGGGATTCTAATTAAAATTCAGCTGCATTAAAATTCGGCACCATCAATGTAAATGACTCAACGAAGCTAATTGTCAATAATGAACATTTTCTGCGGACAGCTAAATTTATGTACATCCAGTTAGTGATAACACTATCAATTTTTTTTCCTGCCCTGTTGTAAAGCAAGCATCTGGGGTTGTCAATTGTGGGGTATGTCCTAAATTAAGAAATATTACAAGTGGGTTAGGGTGGGAATAGTGAGTCTTAGAAGAAACATAATATTCTTGACTTAGAGTAATGAAAACCAAGGCCCCAAGGTATAGAAATAACTTGCTGGGTGACTCAAGCTAAACACAGGCCCCATGTCACCAGACTCTTAACTGCAAACTGCCTGCTCTCCCCTTTAGAATTTGGCCTTTATAAGTGTGGTTCTATCTGCCTAAGAAACATTTCCTTTTCATCCATTTCATTTTAAAGATGTAGCTCAAATGCCACTTCTTTCAGGAAGCCTTCTCAGTTTGCTGAAATACAGACCTCTCTTTTCAACACACAGTGAAAGTTAGTCGGTAAAGGATATAAATAATCAAACCTTAAATCTCACAAATGTCTTTTCCCCAGACTTCCCAGTCCCTTCCTCGAAAGCCTCTGGAACCCTGTATACCCATAGACCTTCCTTCCCAGAATGCTTCTGATTTCCTCTGAGGATACTTTTTTTTTTTTAAGATTTTATTCATTTATTTAGGGAGCGTGTGCACGCATGTGGGAGGGGGGGCAAAAGGGAGAGGGAGAGAGAACCCCAACCAGACTCCAAGCTGAGCGCTAAGCCCATCATGGGGCCTAATCTCACAACCCTGAGATCATGACCTGAGCTGAAATCAAGAGTCAGACGCTCAAACAATTGAGCCACAGAGACGCCCCTCTCTGAGGATACTTTTTTTTTTTTTTTAAAGATTTTATTTATTTATTTGAGACGGAGAGAATGAGAGACAGAGAGCATGAGAGGGAGGAGGGTCAGAGGGAGAAGCAGACTCCCTGCCAAGCAGGGAGCCCGATGCGGGACTCCATCCCGGGACTCCAGGATCATGACCTGAGCTGAAGGCAGTCGCTTAACCAACTGAGCCACCCAGGCGCCCTCTGAGGATACTTTTAACTGTACGTCCTCTTGAGTAGAAGTTGTTCACTATGCCTTCCCTGATCCTCCTTGGCCAAGGATACATAATCAGCAAGAATCTAACTCTTGACAACTTACAATTTACATTCCACCTTCATACAAGAATTTCTTTTGAGGAGATAATGTCATCTAGCTACACCACTGTCTTACTGTCCTCGTTGCTGTTCTCTACCAATTTCCCACTCACTCCCTACCTTAGCCTGGCTCACTGCATTGCAAATTATGTCAAGAGCCTGGAGTTATGATGAGGGTAACTGTGGGCAGCTACTGAAACTGGGAAGCCGAAGAACCCAGACACCTGGGGGAACTGGTTTCCCTCTCCTGGTAGCTGTATCCTCAATCTTTCTCACCTACTGCCCAACTCTCACCAGGTGTCCTCTGCTCTGTGTGGATTCTGTTTCCCTGTGAGCCTGGCTTGCATATAATGCCGAATTGCTACTGGTTCCTTCAACAAGCTGGTGGTCAGATGGCTACGGGAGCCCAAGCAGATGACGTAAGTGAAGGAAGCTGGCCAGGTATAAGCAGCATAGGGGGGTGGTGGCCGAGGTGAAGGGGGGAAGCATGTGCCCCGTGTACTGCTCAGCTCCAGGATGTTTTTGCCATATCAGGCCTTCAGATTTTATAAGAGAAGCCAAACAGCCAGATTTTAATGTGAAACCTCCCCAATTTTCAAATGTTGGCAACACTTTCAAATTATTAGAAAATATTGCACAGTTCACAAAAATAAGTTTCAGGGCCACTCTGCAACTGCTATAGATTTTTTTTTTGACAATTCTTGATGTATCCTTTCAACCTATGCTGGAGCTTATCACTTTAATCTGTTTCCTAATTCCCAGATCCCAGGAGAAAACAGATTAACCCAGCTCATCTTTTTATGACAGGTCACACAGGTCCCCAGCCAGCAAATAGGAGGGTCGGATTACCCAATTTAATCATTCCTACAGGAATGGGGGTCAGGATGGAGGCTATAGGACAAGTGCCTAGTAGACAAGGCAGTTTCCCTAAAAGAGAGTATTAATGGCCTGGTCCCATAAAACACAGCTAGTAAACCTTTATGTTTGGCCTCTGACTCATAGTCCTCCACCCCAACTCCTGCCACCAGCTAAGGTGATTTTAACATTCAGTCATTCTTTCTTCATTTAACAATATCCATTAAGCAGGTATGCTGCCCAGACACATGACAGGCTCTGAGGTTTACAAGTGAGATAAACGGTATTTCCCCTCTAGAGTTTGGAGGGCTGTTCATACTCTGACAGTCATTTCTCCTGGAGAAGGAAATAAGGGTTCTTATATCTTGCAGAAAAGTAAGATCCAAGGAAAGGTGAGGAAGTTTTTCCCAAGGACCTTTAGTCACAGGGAACTGTGTGACTAAAGCAGAGGTTAACAGTAACCAGATACAAAGGATTTTGCCACCGTAAGGAATTCATATATATTTTTTTAAAGATTTTATTTATTTATTTGACAGAGAAAGAGAGCGCACAAGCAGGGGGAGCAGCAGTGGGAGAGGGAGAAGCAGGCTTCCCAAGGAGCAGGGAGCCCAATGTGGGACTTGATCCCAGGACCCTGGAATCATGACCTGAGCCAAAGGCAGATGCTTAACCAACTGAGCCACCCAGGAATTCATATTTTAAGGCAATGGGAAGCCATTAGAAGAATTTAAGCCTGGAGTGAGGCGAGACAGTTTGAATTTTAAAGGAGAGTGTGTCAAGGGGGTGGGGCTATCAGGACACGGACAAAACACGTAGCAGTTGAGAGGTTTTCAACCAAGGCCATTGATGTTTAGGCAACAAAATCAAAAGGATCTGATGATCAACTAAATGTGAGGGAGGAAAAAAAGACTAAACTCCTAGGGTGACTCCAGGTTTCAAATTAGAGAATGATTGGTGGGATGTGGTGCTATCCATAGAGAGAAGAAAGTTTATCTCTTTGTCTCAAAATATGTCACTTTAGGGCGCCTGGGTGGCTCAGTCGTTAAGCGTCTGCCTTCATCTCAGGTCACGATCCCAGGGTCCTGGGATCGAGTCCCACGTCGGGCTCCCTGCTCGGCGGGAAGCCTGCTTCTCCCTCTCCCACTCCCCCTGCTTGTGTTCCTGCTCTCACTATGTCTCTCTGTCAAATAAATAAATAAAATCTTAAAAAAAAAAATGTCACTTCAGACAGTCCTTACATATACCCACCTTAAACCTTGTCCTTAAACCTTGTACATTCCATACACAAGCTCAGTCTCAAATGTCTCCTGCTGACTCGCATACATTCACTTGACACTCCCAACCCCACCCCAGGATTCTTTTTATCTCCTAGGCTGCTGGTATCCACCTGTCTTGCTTTCCTCTCCACGTCAACAACCCCCCCAAACCTCTTCCCAGGCCCTTCCATGACCGTGTCACATACCCAGCACTAGATCAATCCAAGCATTTCCTTTGGTTTCCCCCTCCTAGTTGCTGAGCAGTGCTAGAGACAATTTGTATCTTAAAGCAATGGGAGCCACTGGAAAAATGTTAAGCCAGGGAGTGTGATGTGATCTGATTTGCATTTTAAAGGGGGCTGGGTAGGCAAGAGGTGAAGGCTTTTAACGCTGAGACTACTTCACTGCATTTGATGATACAAGACCTGGACATGACATGCTTGGGATTTTCAACTGTCTTTGTATTATTTATCTGTGGCCAGATCCCTGGCCTACTGGCCACAATGGCTGTTCCTAAACTTGCTGTCCAAGCTGTGGCCCACCCCTCTCATAAACTGTAGATAATTTTGACTCTTCCCAAAGAAAATAGGAATCATTGGGTAGGAACACTCTTCCTAGCCCTGACCCACATACTCACCCACATTCCCATCTTCTTTACTTCTTACCCATCTATCTCAAAGAAAAGTACACCTCTTCCTTGTGCTCCAGACCTCATACCTTCCATTCTCCTCTGAGAATGGCTCTATCAATTACCTCTTTCTCTGGATGCTCAACCTTTCTCTCAAGTGACCTTTCTTTTCTCTTTGTAGAAAAGAGAAAGAAACAAAAGCATACACCCTCTGTATCCAAAAGGATCTATGTGTGTGTGTTTAAGAGACTAGTGAATAAGGCAAAAATAAAGAATTCATGATTAGGTAGAATGGCTTTACCCTAAGCCCAGATGATAGGCTTTCCATGGACCTTGAGAAGGATTGGCAACCAGGACCTGTAAAGCTTGGATGCTCCTTCCCTTCCATTCTTTCCATACATACTTTGCTCTTCTGCACATCTATAGCTCATTTCATCTGATTCTCTAGGCCCAGCTCTCAAGATTAACCAACTAATTGGACTGAAAGGGTTTTCTCTCTTGGCCCAAGTTATAAATTTCTTGAGGAAGTATTGGCCTAGCTTGCATGATGTACCCCATCAAGGGCCAGTCAACTATAGCAAGGGGGCAGTATGTACATACATGGCTATCCATGTATGGATAGGGGATCAGTTAGCAAAGAAGGGAGACATGTGAATTGGACAAATACCCCTTTGGCTATGGCCAAATCTCCCTCCATTGCTTTCCATCTAAGACTCCTAAGAGCACAACCTCCTCTTTTTCTCCTCCTATTCATTCCACTATGCCACTGCATTCTCTTTTCCACTCCCTACCCACCCCCACCAACTGTTTTCAATAAGGCCACTTTCCATTTGACACACCAAAGGACACTTTTCAGTACTTGTTTTTCCTGACATCACTTTAGCACTTGACACTGTTTGCAGCCCTTTTCACCTTGAAAACTCGTGCTTCTAATTCTTCACTGGTTTATCATTGCCTAAAGCTATGGTTTTTAAACTTTCCTTAATCACGGAACCCTTTGTTTAAAAGAAAAAGTCTTTCAGCCGTGCTCACCATTAAATCGATAATAGTGAAGCTGGTCTGGTTGAAATAGATGGGAGACGCAGAGCCCTGCCTGCCTTGCTCCACTCCCCACCCCAGATGACTCACGGGTAGACTCCGAGGGGTGTTACAGCTCCACTGAGAAATATATAATTTGGAAACCACAGATCTGTAACAAATTTCTTAGTTTTAAACGTAAGGTTCCTTTAGTATCCAACACCTACCAACCTTCCCTATCTTCCTTGCTGTCAGTGTGTCTGTTCCAGATGGGTTCATCTATCCACAAAGGAATTCTTGTTGTCAACGGCTTTAGTCTGGTGCTTTCCCAGCCCCACCTTGGGCATGATGTTTCCTCTGCGCGAATGAGACTTCTCCCTTTGTGTGCCTGCGGAGCTCCTATTCATTATTTCAAACTTGGCTTAACTAGAATCTCAGGTACTCCCCACTCACAGTGACCTGACTTCTCCTTTGTGCTCCTTTTGTCACCTGTTCCATGTAACTATTAGAATAGAGTTCAGTATTATAATTTGAGAGTTTTATACCCATATTCTCTTCAGACCTGGAGCTTCTGAGTAGTGACATTATTTTCATCTTTGTAGCTCTAGAACCAAGCCCAAGTGGCTGGCACTTAGTGTCTGATAAAGGTTGAATAAATGGATGTATTTCTCTCCACAGTGATCTTTTCCTTATTCAAATCCCATGATTACTTGTGCACATGCATGTATTTCTCCAACAGATTATGAGCTCAGAGAATGATACTTCTATGTTCGGGTGATTTGAGGATTATATAAGCTACACATAAGAGTGCCTAACAATGCCTGACTCATCAGTAGTTTTTCCTCCTGGCTATGTAACAGAATCCCCAATAGAGTTTTTCTGTGTTTGTTTTTAATGTAGATTCATGGGCCTTACTTACTAAATCATATTTTCCAGAGAGGGTGCTGGGCATCCATCACACAAATGATTCTGATGCACAGCCTTCAATGAAACTCAATAAATGCTAATGTTCATTTTGTAACTCCAGAATCTGGCACAGAGACTAACAATGTAGTAGGAGCTCACTAAATATAGTAGAAGGAATTGAAATATATAATGTTTTCAACGTGTAGAATATAACATTTTACATCTAACAAGCCACGGGTTGAGGCAAAAGGTAGATTTAGGTTAAAAGGGCCCAGATGACAACTTCTCAGTCTCTCATTGCTGGGTCTGTGTTCAGTGAGCTCTCTCCTGCTCTTCCCAACTTCCGCCCCCTTCCCACCTTCCTGCTTTTTTTAATTAGTAGGAAGACTCATCTTCTGTCCAATTACCATCCCCAGGGATCCCAAAACACTAATGTTTCTAAGCAGTTGCTTCCTAACATTTTGATTTGGCTGTGGTCTGCCTCTGAGGGCTCTCCTGGAAGTCTTCCTCTCTCATAACCACCACACTGTGCCCACCTTCCAAACCTCAATGCCACCGCTTTGGTTCAGGTCTTCAGTATCTCTTGCTTACTAACACACAGAATTCCCTGCATTCAGACCAGCCTTCCTCAGGTCTAAGGCAGGATTATTGCTACTCATACTCATCCCTCAAAATCCACTTCAGATGTCAGATTCTCCGGGAAGCCTTCCTTCTGGATTTGACCATCTTATTTGTACTCCCAATACACTGGTGTCTA